GCACCGCCACTGGTTATATAATACATTTTTTTTCGGTGTATAAGTAATGCTGCAGGGTGTATTCCCATTGGACAGGGGTCGGAAATCTGCGGCTCCTCAACACGCGATATGTGGCTTTTTGTTGGGAAACGCATCGATATCCGTAAACTATAAATGTTATTTATTTATTATCTAGTAAAATAATGCCTAAATTAGATTATAATTTATAATACGATTCTGCAGATTATCAAGTTAGTACCTATAGCTAGTCTTAAATCTACTTAGTATTATTCCAGTTCTTAATACAAATTTCGAAAATGACAGCMCCCCCCCCCCCGGATTTATCGAGATCATCATAAATCATAATCAAATATCTTGTACAGAATAGGTAATCCGTTTGGCTAGCAATCTACAAGAAAAATAMATCTTTCAAAAATAACGTTTTTACTAGGTACCTTATAACTTTCAGTTTTTGTAGGTACTTATATATACCTGTGTTTTATTTTTTACTTGTATAATTTTATATACTGAAAACTTTCATAAGATTGAAGTATCGTAAAAAATTCAACCTACAAATACATATTTAATGTTCTGAAGTCTTAACTTTAAGTTAGATAATAAGTCAATTTACTCTAATGTTAAAGCTAAAAATACAAGAATGGTTTTGCTAAAAGAAAATTTGAGCATTTCTTGAAGGTTGGAGAGATAATATAAGTGAGATATTGTGCTAAACTCTTAATTTTGTCATCTGTCTGCCTACTTCAATTGATATGAATTAAAAAATATGAATCGTCGTAGACTTGAAACTCTTTGCCTTTTCGTATATGGCTGTTCACTGTATACAATACAATGAAATTTTTAAAAAAATATTAATTAATTTTAAGCTATTTATAGTATTCATATCATAAATCTTTTTTCCCATTAATACAATGTCGGTATTGTTTTTTGTCTTTTAAGCTTTGAATTAGTATAATTATAACAATACAATTATATTGGTATAATATTGTTATAATAATTGGTTTATTTTACATACACTTTTATTCGTTTTTGTCAATAATTTGTTCAATAAACAATAGTTCTTTGTAGAAAAATGAATGTCTAATATTGCCTTGGTAATAAAAATAACTTATAAAATCTCCTTAGAGATGTATAATCTAACAACAGTGACTCGACTCGCAATCATTGCTCTGGATCTTTTTTAGTACACAATAATTTATTAGATTTAGACATAGATTACAGATTACAGTGGACTAGTACACATTGAAAAAATGAACTCGATGCCAAACACAGAAGAGCTAGTTATTCCTAGTTCAAAAATTAAAAATTATAACAACAATTATTAATTGTTTAATAAAAAATATTGATACATTTTTGCATTTAATTATGCAYAGTTTTACTTTTTTTTTTTAGATATTTACATAAGTTTAGATTTTTTGAATGGAAAAGAATGCAATTAATACCTATTAATATAGGTATAATAATAGGTATCTACTGCATTCAGAAAAAATTGTTCGACAGAAAAAAAATGATTCTGTATCTCAATAAATACTAAATTTTACATTTAAAAAACTATTTAAATATTTAAGACTAAAAAGTTGAGTCTAACAGTAATCAGTATTTATTTAATACAGAGAAATATTTATATAATGTAGTGAGATATGAATTAYAAATAATTTTGTAAGAATCTTAAAAACGTATTATAACGGTTATTGTGATCATTTTATTTATAAATGTATACATCATTAAGTTGGCTTTATCCATTTAAAATAGATACATAATATTGGGTAAAACTTTTAAAAATAAATATACTTTTTCATTATTGTTTTTTATTTTTGAAAAATTGATTTATCCATGAAAAACTTGAATTAAAGGAACCAGCTTTCATTAACTCATTTATTCATGTTCTAAATAATGAAATACATTTCTGATATTAATTTCTTCTGATTTCTTAGCTGTTAATATAAATATATAATGTGAATCTCAAATCAAACCTAGTTTATATTGTTAAAAGAAATCACTTTAAAATTGTTTTCATTAGTTCATAATATAAAAATACATTAGCACTCCTCGGCCMTCGATTGGTATTAAAATGTACAATCGTGTTGTTTCATTTTTCAATTTTCTAAATTGTCAACATTCTGTTGCCTATTGAGAATGCAGTTTRTTTTGATAATCTWCMGTTCTTCGGTTGACCACAAAATTGTCATCACTTTGACATGCAATATAATAAKCATTAATTGTTATCCTTTCCATTGTAGACATCCCAAAGAGTGATTTTATTATCTTTATTTGCAACAGCCAGCATGTACCTGGCTTTCCAAAATGTCACTGATGATTCAGAATATTCAATACTCATAACCCCAGTTGAATGGGAATCCAAAACAGCTAACAGCTTCATAGTCTTCCAAGAAAATAATCTYACAGTTAGATCCCAGCAAGCAGCAGCGACTATTTTATCGTCAGGCCTCAGCAGCAAAACATTAACACCAGGATTTGTGATCTTAATGTTTTTATCCAAACTTAGATTACCATCTGCAATATGAAATGTGTTAATCACATTTGAACTACCAGCACAAATACCTTTCTTTACATTATGATCCACATCCAGAGCCATTAAACATTCAAGTTCGGGAAAGCTATACTGATTAACGATTACATCTTCCTGCCATACAACGACTGTATTGGCTTCATAACCACAAAACACATAATTACCGATTGATTTTACTACCATTAAATCTCCCAAATTGTCATCTTGGTGTGGATTATAAACAGCAATTTTATCATAAGTGTCGGTGGAGTAACAACACATCGTAGACTTATCTCCTTTGCACAATAACATGTTTGTTTTGTGCAAAGCCAATTTACAAAAGCCAATCATTTGGGTTGATAATGTATGATGGAGCTTGAGTTCTACACCATCTATCAGCCAACATTTTATTTCGCCGACTTTGTTTTGCGACAATAATTGATTTTGTTTTGTCAACAGCTCAAGAGTCATTATACACACTGTGCCGGCTTTAATTTCATTTTTCAAACGATTAGACTGAAAACAGAAAAACAAAACGATCAYATTACTAAACATTATAACCAAATGTTTTAAAATACAAATTGCAATGAATATATTATTGAACAGGTTTCATAG